CCACCTATATTAACTTTATCGACTCAAAAAGTTCTCTTGTTAAAAAAGGCGTTTAAAACCTGATTAAAAATGGATTATAATAGCACTATTTTAATCAGATTCTTCAGCCTTAAAGGTCACACTTTTTGATTTTGCTCTATTCTAATCGATTACTAAAATTATACCAATCACAACTGATTATTAGAAATTGATTTTAATTGATTAAATTTTGTTAACTGACTTTAATAGATTAAAGAGACTGTAAAATCATATAAAATCTGGTCTTTAAGGCTGAAAAATCTATTCAATACCAGATTAAAATTGTGGCATTAAAATCGATTTTTAATATGTTTTGTAAACGAATTTTCTTTTTAGAAAATCTGAATGTAAAAGTTTCGTCGAAATTTTCATCAACTGATCTTACGTTAGATTCAGATTCTTGATACTCAGAAACCTTTGGTAAAACTCTATAATAATGCGTCGTGTATCTAAAAGCATTGCTCGTTGCGCACCCAAAAATTAGGTTCAAAATTGATACCAGATTCAGGTTGCTGATCTGCGACAACTATTAGTTAAACTTAATAATAATTTGTTAAATCTTTGATATTCTTCATCCGTAGCAGAAAATTATACAAAAACATTTTTAGAAACTGGCCTTCGATTTAGATTTCGAATCCTCAAAAAGCATTGGTCAAACTTTATAATATTCGTCAGATCTCTAAGATCGCACATTTCGGGTCCGAAAAACTAACCCAGTTTAGTAATGTTAAACTGATACTGATAGGGAAGGGCAGTTATCGTTATTTTACCAAGTAACTGGTAACTGTGGTACATTTTTCGTTCTCAGGTAAGTAGCTGACTGCTGACTGCCCACCCCTGTGCTCTACAGACGAGAACATACCATTACGTAGCGAAGTCACTGGTAACTGGTCAGTTATCAGCTAATTGGTACCTTATGCCGGTAACGTAACTGTTCGGTTTATTCTGGAATTCATCGAAATAGCTTGGAAAATTCCATAATATTTTTCTATGTATTTTTATCATATTATAGTAGTACTAGAACCTGTGACGTAAGTAAACATTCCTTAGCACTTTTGCTTAGGCTCATCATAACTTCAATTCCGAATGATCCGGATCGAATTCAGGCTTATTGTTAGTATTAAAATAGTTCTAAATCTAAATCTTACCAAGTGTAAATTTTTAAAATGTTCACACTTGGTTTTCGCTTTAATAATCCGTGATATTGTAATATATGATGCCGGTTGTTTGCTCAGTCAATTTCTACGATCTAACTCCGATGACAAAGGACAACCGATCGAAATATTAGACTCAAAGGCAGCACAAATATTAAAAAATGAAGTTCGGTTTTTTGTTGACAAGTTTCATTTGAGCAATCACAAGGAGGTTAGCAGCCATCATGATTGGTTTTTTTCTAACAATTTTCTTTTCTTTTAAGTATTGTGAGAAACATTTCAATACAAAATTAGAAAAGTCGCTTAAGAATATCAACAGCAGTGCTTGTGAACAGATTAATTCGTGGTTAAGATTTTATATTGATATTCTTTCGAACATGAACGAAGCAAGATTTTTGGGAACACTTCTGCTTTTATTTCATTTGCGAAATTGCTACATTACCGTAATTTCATCTAGAACTGTTCGTGCAAAAGAAACGCTGGTAAAAAACCTTGTTTTTTCTCTTACACTTTATGATCTTTCTGTATATTATATCTACAGAAAGAAGTATATCAAGCAAATACACTAGGGAACAGTACTGCATCAAGTGTAACAACGAAAGTTAATATAAACATTAGTCAATTATCTCCTTCATCTGACATGGAAGATGGAATTAGCTTCAGTATCGACGATTTCTATGGCAATGAAGAAGTCTTCCAAATTGACGACGATGCTGAAGATAGTTGATCATCTTTCTCATGACAATCATTGAAAACGAAAACGTTGTTATTAATAAAGGAGGAAAAAAAGAAGGGAAAAGGAAGGTGATTAATTCTTGTTTTATTCCCACCTGAATATTATCTATGCAGTCAGGACAACGACTTTATTCGTGTTTATTGTTTAGAATTCAATCAAATATTACAGAGATGTCATAATCCCAATACGCTGGGGTATCCACATTCAGACGTCCTAATACTCAAAGCTGTTGCAATATCCTAACTGTTCTACGTCCTGGAAACATTACGCTATTTGGATCTTGTATAGATTCTTTGAGTAAAGTAGCAAAATGATGCAAACGTGCAATAAGCACTTCGACAAACTCAATTCTCTTAGAGCATCTTTTAATACGGCATTAAATTTAAGAATACGTATAAGATATTTGGCACAATTATTGTTACTTTATACAAAACTAAAATAGAGAGACGAAATCAGTTTTTAAAAAAAACATCTTTTTCTAGACATAAAGGATGGGGTGCGATACGAACGAGGATCGGCCCCATTTCAGATCTTCTCGAAAG